TTTTTTTAATTTTTTTTTTGCGAAACTGGGAGTTGAACTCAGGCCCTTGTGCTTGCTAGGCAAGCATTTATTCTACTGAGCCATCTCCCCAGCCCCTTTTTATATGCTTTTTAGTATATGTGCTGCCGAAGCAAGCACTATATGCTTTTTAAATACTTGAACATTCCATAATTTTGATAGTATACAGTTTACTAAATTGAGTTCCTGTTTTGTTAACATTTAAGTTAGCAAATATACCTGTTACAGTCCCAATTTTCTGTTACCACACAGAAATGCGAAAACATATTGGTAACTTTTGTTCAATTTTATACTGAATCATTTTCCAAGGATGAATTCTCAGAAATACAATTACAGGTCAAAGGATACAAATTTTCTTGTGAATACTGTTGGATTTTACCTACTTTACAAAACCGTCTAACAGTTTATTATACTTCCAACTGTAAAGAGCTTCTCTCCTAACAATATAGGATGTTCAATCAGTAAAGTCTATGCAAATCTTCCAAAATCTAAAAACTTTTAGAATATGAAACCCCTGAGGACCCAAGCATTTTGGAATAAGGGAAACTCAATATGCATGTTATTGTCTGTGTCTAGGGAATTCATTTCTCAGAATCAGGTTCAGAGTGCCCAGTGATCCAGGCATTCGACCTCTACAGCCAAGAGAGAAGGAAGCCTGGCTACTGCTCCACCTGGCAGCAGACCATGACATCATCCACATGGCATTGGTTTTAGGCACTTGCATAATGCAGGAGTTGAGGTTAAGGCTTCCACCTAGATTTCAGAAGGCCTGGGAGGCCAGGCAGTATGTCCCTGAGAGGGCAGTGTGTAATGCTGTGACTGAGAAGCCTATTCAGTGGAAACCCCAGAAGTTTGGAAAAGCCAGGAACATTGATAATCTAAGAAAAGCTGCAAGAAGGGAGCAAAGCAGGCCTAAGAGAAGCCATGGGAGCTAAAACCAACAGCAGAGCCATAAGGTGGAGTCACATGGAGACCACAATTTGCCAGACTGTTTCAGATGTTCCACATGGAACTACAGGACTCAATGTTTGCCCTGCTGGATTTTGAACTTGTGTTGGTTCCAATGCTTCGTATTCCCCTGTTATTTGTATCTTTTTGAATGGTAATGTTTATCTTGTGCCACTGAATGTTGGCAGTGTTTAAGTTTTCATTTGTACAGGGGCTCACCGCTAAGGGTTTGCCTCAGATCTTGGAGGAGACTTGGGACTTGGACTTTTCTGCAATACTAAAACTTTTAGGACTTTGGCGACTATAAGATGGACTAAAATGCCTTTTGCATAAAGAGATGTGCATGAGTCTTTGGGGGTCCAGAGGTGGAAAGTTATGGTTTGTGTCTAGTTGTCCCCACAAAGACTCATGCAGCCATGGGGCAGCTTCTGGCGTTGTGACTGATTCTTGATCCAGTGCTGGGATTATGCATGTGAGTGCCCTGGGGCAGATACTCAGCATTACAATGAGAGGAGAGGAGAAAGGCTGGCTAGCTGCCTGAGTTTGCTGCCACTCCCTTTGCTCTTGCTCTCTGCCACCTCCACGAAAGGTTGCTCTCGGCCATGTGCTGCTCTGTCTTGGGTCCAGTGGATTATGGACTGAAACATTCACTGACCGTGAGCTAAATAAACCTTTCCTTCATTTTGGGTGTTGGGTATTTGTCCCAGCAATGAGAGAAGAGGATCTGAGATAACACTTTAAAAAATCCTTTAAAAAATCTTAATAGGTACAATATGCACCTTCCCAAACTATTACATGGTATTTGTTTGATTTCTAGGGAACTTGAAAAGTTTTCAATGTACAAAACTTATAAATATGTGTAATACTGAAGCTTCAATTTGATTTAAACTGAACATTATACATACATCTTTACTTTATATACACTCACTGTTCAAAACCTAAATTTACTGAATAGACAAATAGGGAGGGTAGAAAAACAACGAAAGAAGAAAACAGTGAAGAAATAGAAATATACAGTGAAATATTATTATGTAAGGTGACTGGCATTAAACACATGCAACAGAAGTTTCAATGATGCTCCTTATATTTGTCTTTTACTTTCCTATGCCAGATAATCTTCCTAAAACACTGATTTCTTCACATTACTTCCCTGTTGAAAAGCCATCACAGGTCCCCTCCTAGATGAGTCAGTCAGTGTTTATCACCATGGACCAGCCTGAGTTCCCCCATTTCTACTCCATCAAAACCTTCTCATTAGTATTTTTCAGTCCATGAATTTATGCCATCTGAAGTGACCGCCTGTCTCTGAAAGAAGAAGCATCTAAACAAGTAGAAAGGGGAAAGTTCCTCAAACAAGTAGAATTCAGATACCTATCAAAAATCTCATGCCCTGCAGGAAGCTTCAGTTCCAAAGATGACTCTATCGCATGAAGAATTACAATTAACTATAGAAAGAACACTGCTTTTACTTCGTTTTCTATACAAACAGCAATGTGAAATTAACTGAAAGAACGGGGTTAAGGAGTCAGGAATATCTGAATGGACTCCTTGTTTTATCACTTACCTGCTGTACGACTATTTTCTATTTTAATAGATTCTTTTTTTTTTCATGTTGCCTAAGCTGGCTCTGAACTCTTACATCAGCCTCCCAAGTAGTTGGTACTATAGGTACATGCTACCATGCCCAGCTATATGACAGCGTTTGCGTGATTTAATGTCAACACAGGCAGGAGACAGGAAAAGGAATGTTGTGGGTCTGTCCTGCTTCAAGGTTGCATATGGTTAGATTTTTGGACTTATGTCTTATGTGTAAACATAAGAATTATATAATTCTTTATGCCTATTTTTAAAATATATTCTAATTTTTAAATGTTTTTTCATCATATTCTGTAGGTACTTAAAGTTCCACATATCAATACTTGATGAAAAATACCTGTTCCATTTATGCCTAAGATGTTTGATATTCAGACAAATAGTGAGGTTAAGCTTAACAGCCTAGGTTGTATGGTAATAACAATAAACTTCTCTTCTGGAGGGTTAACAAGCTAAGTTTGCAAACCAAAATTAGAGAAAAAGGAGAGCCGCAAGGAAAGCCAACATTTTGGCTCTAGCCTTCCAAGGTCAATTAAGACTCAGGACATATGAGAACTTGTACTGTAATGTCATGTAACTCAGTAGTGTCGCACATTTTCTGATCAAGGAGATTATAGTGCCAAAGAGGAAAAGTGATCGATGATATAGAATATGCCTAAGGAGAGTCACATGGAGAGAAAACATTCTCTCAGGCTTTCACTGAGAGCACATTGGCCAAGCAATGGCCGTCACTCATCCACATGGCTGACACTGACAAAGGATCTATCTGAGGTATAGGATCTCCGGATAAATCCTGAGGGGATTTCACTGACCTTATCAGACCCAAAAGCTACAACTCTTGTTGCATAGGTCCTGCTTTACCTTGGTCTTAAACCATCCAGCAGAAAAGTATAAAAACAAAATATAAGAAGTAAAGCCATGCTGTTATGTTGAGTTACAGGGTCAACAATTTCTGACATTGCCAGTGAAGCAGAACACCCAATACTATTATGGGCTACTGGACTCTTTTAGAATATTTTGCTGAGTTAACACACCTGTAATATTCAAATGATGGAACTAAACAAAAAAAGGGTATACAGATGAATGTCCATTTTGTATCTGTGTATTCAAAATGGTTAGGATAAATATATAGTTACATTCTCTTAATGAATAGAGGGATTTGTTCTAATAGTGTTTGTAAATAGGATATCATGTCTGCATCTTGTACAGCAATTAACCACTAGGAAGAATGTATGCAATGTGTTAATTATTGAAACTGTCCTACCAAAAAAAAAAAATTAATCATTTTTTTCATTAGTAAAAATATTTATATATAAAATATGTTGCACTTGCATGATTAAAATAAAATGGTTTAGCCAAAAAAAAAAATAATAATAATAATGTCAACACAGGATAAAAGACCTACCTTGCAGGCTTGTTTTGATAATAATGAGGAAATATAACCATAAAGTGGTAAGTACAGTGCCTGACATAAAGCAAAACTCAAGTGGCAGCTACTCTTTTGGAATCAAAAGATAATGCCCTATCTCATATGTCCACCTCAGTTATAATAATGTCAATAAACAATGACTGCAACAATAACATGGTAATAATTAACAGTACTTATTTTGTGGCAAGCACTGTGCTACCTATCTTTATTTCATCCAACTAACAAAGAAGCCCATGAATTGTATCCCTGCTTTAGAGATGGAACAGAGGCTCAGAGGTTATTTTGTTAGCCCAAAATCATACCAGCTTATAATCTTCACATGCATATTCAGAAATTTCAATCTATATAAACTCAAACTTTTGTGTGTGTGTGTGTGTGTGTGTGTGTGTGTGTGTGTGTGTGTTTGTTTCTGGGGATTGAACCAGGGCCTTTACCCTGAGCTATATCCCCAGTCCTTTTTTGTTCAGGACAATATCTCACTAAGTTACCAAGGTAGGACTTGAATATCCAGTCCCTACACACTAGCCTCTCACTTGCGAGGCTTATAGGCATGTACCACCATTGCCAGTGGTGTAACAAAATGAACTATAAAAGTTGGATTTTACCAGAAACTTTCATTTCTTCTCTTTCATCTGGGTTTATCTTCTCTACTGCATGAGATACAGTACACTCCAAGACATCTGGAAACTCCTATAATAAACATATTTACAATAAATATCAATGTTTCTGATTAATTAAACAATGTTCTATTGTCTGTAATGCTCCTGAGAGCAGAGAACCCACAGATAACGGAAATTTTCACTTGAGATCTAATGAACTTTACAAGGGTTATAAAGTCCTGATACAGAGGTAAAAAAGCTGTGTGTATATGTGTGTGTGTGTGTGTGTGTGTGTGTAAAACATGTATCTATTTTCTGGGAAGAAGATCTGATCAGATATTCAAAAGAATGTAGGGTTAAAAGGAAAAAATCAGAAAATAGGAGGAGCCTGTGGTAAGTTAGAACTGCTAAAATAGTAGGCAGTTTTATTAAGCTTTCTACATTAATCAAGCTTTTAAAGAAACTTTGTTATGCTTTTGAATTTTCCTGTCATTGAACTTTAATGTGCAAAGAGATTTAGATAGCTTCAAAACAATTAAGTTTTATTTTTTAGCACAATTTTAGATTCACAGCAATATTTAACAGACAATATTGTATAGAGATTGACTACTGTACAGAGATTTCTCATTTACCTCCTGCCTACACACATGCATTGCCTCCCCAGTATGACTATCCCCATAAGAGATGTATATTTGCTATAAATGATGAGCCTACATTGGTACATTATAATCACAAGTTTACTGGAGGACTCAGTCACTCTTGGTGTGGGCCCGGACATTTAATATACAATGACATATACCACCACTGCAGTGTCGCTCATTATAGCATCACTGTCATATCAGTGTTCTGTGGTCCACTCACTCATCCCTTCCTCCCCCCACCTTGAAAAACCACTGCTGTTTTTACTATGTCCATAGTGTTTCTACAATGTTAAACAGAATCAATAGTACACAGGCTTTTCAGATTGATTTTTTTTTTTCACCTAGTAATATACATTTAAGGTTCTTCCATGTCTTTTCATGGCCTGATAGAGCATTTCTTTTTAGCATTGATTAACTGTTCATTGTTTGGATGTATCGAAGTTTATCCATTCATCTACTAAAGGATTATCTTCGTTGCTTCCAAACTGTGGCAAGTACAACTAGAAGTACCATAAAAACCATATGTAGGCTTTTCATATACAAAAATTTTCAACTCCCAAGAAAAAGAATGGTGGATCACATGACAACAGTATGCTTAGTTATGGGTCACAAACATTTTCAAGACGTTTCTTTTCCTAGAAGCAATTAAAAAAAAAAAAAAAATCAAGGGCCATCCAGAAGCACTGTAATGAATAATTACGAGGATATGATAAAATGTTAGTATATATCAGTTAGAAATACACTGACTTACATAACAAGATTTAAGCAAAGAATGAGGCTTCTTCATGATTGGTGAGCATATTACAATACCTACCACATAATAGGTGTTTAGTAAGTGTTTAAATTACACACAGAGTAAACGGTCATTTCAGATAAAAAGACTGATCAATGATATGATCATCAGGGCTGGGGAGAAAGCTCAGCAATCTAAGCACCTGCCTGGCAAGTGCAAGGACCTGGGTTTAACAGCCAGTACTACATGCCGTGCCGGCCCTGAAAACAGGCATAATGGCACATGCCTATAATCCCAGTACAGGGGAGACTGAGACAGAAGGATCACTACATGTCACAGGTACACAGCAAGACCCTGTACCAAATAAATAAATAAATAAATAAACAAATTATTTTTAAAATAATGAAAAAAATGAGAGATGATCATCAATGTTTGCAAAGAAGCTACAGAGTTATAAACTTGCAGTATGTCTTCCTGTAAAGTTTTAAAGTAGTCTAAGAAATATGATAGAAGCTTTTAATGGAGCAGGATTTCACTATCTACAAAAAGAATATTTTATATGTTAACATGTAATAATAGGCATGCAATAACATTTAATCAAATACAATTCATTATTTCATCTGAAACTGAAATTTTATATATTATTTCTAGTAACTGTATTACTGTTGTGATATTTTACCAAAGCAATCTACTAATGTCAACTAGAATAAAACACTGATGATAAGGAAACTGTAGTGGGAACTATAAACAAGAATCCTAGCAACTAGTCTAGTTCAAGAGTTGACTACAGAGTCCACTTTTCTATTTTATGCTTAATCCTACTGGGTAAGACTTTCATCACAGCAAATGAGCCAGGAGAGGTTTTATGGCTAACTTCCCAAGGTGGATTAACTAATGGTCAACTGGTGAACACCCTGCGGAACTAAATCAGTGTGGTGCTGGGTGTGGAAGGCCTACCTGAGGATTGCTGCCAACAGCATAAAAGGTGACTGGAGGGGACAATGGTGCACTGTTGATTCTCCTTGAGACGCTTGTCATGCTGCTTTTTCTTGATATGAACTCAGCCATTCTCATCATCAGAGGAGCCTGGGTCCATGCTGTCACTGAAGACAGCTGTGATTCTCTTTAGGGAAACTTGCCCTTGAGTGTCACTTCCTGTCTCCCTCACCCTGCTGACAAGATCCTTCATCTTACTGGCACAGACTTTCTAGCTTTAATCACTGACCTTTGCGCTTTCCTAGTATAGATCTTTGGTAGAGAATTGTATGTGACATTGTGGTGAGCTGTAGGACTCCAGCTGGCCTAGCGGAAGACATTCCCATTGGCTCTAGGTTTTCAGCTGAACTCATGCAGTACATTGCCACCAGATCCAGGCCCTTAGCTGGATTCTTTGGGTCCCTAGTGTATGAACAGATCTCTTGCACTCTTTTGCATTTGACTTTTTGAGTGGATATTATAAAATAATCCTATAAATTGTTTCCTGTGTTAAATCTATACCCTTCCAAATCCCGACTGGAACACCGCTATTAGAGTTCTCTCCCCAAACTGAGGAAATTAACTTCATGCTTGTGCTTCATTTCCTTTTTTTTTTTTGCGGAACTGGGGATTGAACTCATGCCCTTGCACTTGCCAGGGAAGCGCTTATTCCACTGAGCCATCTCCCTGGCCCCTTCATTTCCCTTTTGACTAACACGATATGCACATTCACATTCCACTTACCTTGACCAAATCTGGGCTGATTTGGGAACTCCACTCATTCAAGGTCTTTTGGATACAATCTCGAAGCTGCAAAAGGAGGATATTTTGAAACTGTTAATCAAATTCTATGTACCCTGTGTACTTCTACAATAAAAATGTCTTAATTTGATAAGCTAAGCAAACAAAAGTAAATCGACAGAAAAATCATACGAACTTCAAATTTAATCCTACAGGGTTTTTGTTTCCTTCAACATTAATTTAGACCCATCTTTATTCTATTCCTAATTTTCAAACATTCTTTACCTAAAAGAGTAGTCTATTTTTATAGTTTTTGTACCAATGAAACTTTATGTAAACCTGAAACATAAAAGCATTCATAAAGAGCAAAAAAAAATATTTTAAGAATAAAGTTATTTCAATCCCTGGTTCCACAAATAATAATAATAATAATAATAATAATAATAATAATAATAATAAAGGTATAGGGCTGGGGAGATAGCTCAGTAGAATAAGCACTTGCCTGGCAAGTGCAGGGTCCTGAGTTCAATCCCTGGTACCAAAAAAAAAAGTTTTGTTCATCAAAGAATTAAGACTCCTGAGCTCAATCCTAGACTTGTTCACCATTCCAAGAACACAGAATTTTCATTTTGACAAGCATCCCAAATAATTGCTAAGTATTCAAAAAATCTGAGAACCAGCAGATAGATATATCTGATAGAAATCAACCTGCGTGACAGTCTAGAAACCATTTCTTAACATTTCAGTACATCTTTAACCTGTCTCAATATCTTTCTGAGTAAATAAATATTTCATACTAACTTATAGCATATAAATTCATTAATGTGTTTATCTCTTATGTCCGTGTTTCAAACTTGCTTGATATTGGCCGGAAGCAAGACATATTATTCACTTAGTGAGTGAAGACACATGTTCACATAAGAGGACAAAACAGTTATTTAAGCTTACTACATGTCACACACTCTAGTGGCTTCTATTTTTTTCCTATTAAAAGGAAAAAAATGCTATGGCATGACACACTAAAATGATTTATGACAGCTGACTGGCTAACACTAACAGTTTAAAAATCACTGTTTTAAGGATAGCCTAAGTCAGAGTGTTAGACACAATGGAGAAAAAATAAGAGTAATTAGAAGCTAATCCCTGAACTGCAAAAGCACACTTTTTTTTTTTTCTTTTTGAGACAGGGTCTGGCTGTGTAGTTCAGGCTGGCCCTGAGCTCACTTTGTAGCCCACAATGGTCTCATGATGATAGTCCTGCAGCCTTCCGAGGGCTGAGATTAGAGGCATGTGACACCACGCCCAGCTAAAAAAATTTTTTTTTTTTTTGTGGTGGTATGGAGGATTGAACTCAGGACCTTGCACTTGCCAGCAAAGCACTTATTCTACTGAGCTATCTCCCCAGCCCTAAAAATACATTCAGCAACAACAAAGGCTAAACTTCTGAACTCACCATCGAAATTACAACTGTTTATGATAAAAGTAATTTTTTTTATAATTTCCATCTTATTATAGATAATGAAAATGGGCAACTGGTTTAGCAATTTAAGAGAACAGAACCACCTATGTTAGTATGTATGATCTTAATAGTAATTTGTATGCTGTCCACAATAACTCACTTCAAGTTACCAGGTCTATATCTTCATGCAAAGTCTATTTATAACCAATTTGATGTCAACAGATAAAAATTAGCTTGTAGGGCTAGCCAGATAGCTCAGTGGACTAAAGCATCTGCTTATGCAGATGCAGAGACTGGGGTTCAATCCCTGGCCTGCTGTGTTGGCCCCGCCCCCAGGGCGTGCTGAAATGGGTGATTGAGACTGGGTGTGGTGGTGCACATCTGTAATCCCAGCGCTTGGGAAGCTGAAAAACAGGAAGGGTCACTAGGAGTCTGATGTGTGTAGTGAGATCCTGTACTAAATACATTTTAAAAAAGAAAAATTAGTTTGTAATCCTTTCAGACAGAATTATAAATCATTTTTTTAAATCAGTAAAAAGTTGAAGCAAGATGTTAACAATTGCATCAGGAGTGGTTTGTTTTAAGTCATGATAAAATTGTGAGAAATTTTGCTCTAGAAGAATGAATCATTTTATGTGCTTTAGAACTTCTTGATGATCATCAATCTAGGAAAATAAGTATATTTTCAGAGTAATCACTCCTTTCTTGAAACCACTTTCTCATAGCAGCCTGTTACCTCTGGTTACTTTCTTAATTAATCTCAAAGCCTTTTGTAGCTTTCTTAATTAATCTTGGATTCTGCAAGATTCAAGACACAAGTCAAGGATGGTGGTACATTCCTGTAACCCCAGCACTAGGGAGGCTGAGACAGGAGGATCACTGTAAGTCCAAGGCCAGCTTTGGCTACAGAGTGAATTCAAGGCCAGCCTAAACTACATAGCAAAATCCTATCTCAAAAAACAAACAAACCAGGGATATAATTCAGCGGCTTAAGCTACCTGCCTGGCAAGCACAAGGTCCTGAGTTTGATTTCCAGTTTAAAAAAAAAAAAAAATTCAAGGCAAATGACAGAAGAGTTCACAGTTATTAATTACCTGGGGATTCATTGAGTATATCACAAACCTAATAATTTTTAATCTTTTAAATTACATATTATCTATCCTGGGTGATCATTAACCTTTTTTTTTTTGTTTCCTACTCTCTTCTTTCTTATCATACACATACAATATTACTAAAGAAAAATAGCACCAAATCATTAGATCTGGAGTTGTCTAAGAATTTTTTTAAAAATACCTTGATACAACTACTCATTACTCCTTTTTAAAGAAGTGGACAGAAGTCTTTTTTTTTTAATTTTTTTTTTTAAATTTATTTATTTATGTGTGTGTGTGTGTGTGGCCAGCTCAGCCCACCAGGGGGCGGGGCTGGCTGGCATGTGGTGCTGGGAATTGAACCGCGGTCCCTGTGCTTTAGCTA